AACTCAATTCCTTTGAACGCGTCAAATTGGTTTTTTCCTCCGTTCTCTCTCATCCGCGTGGCGCTTTCTCGTTTCCGGCTCGCCATTGTTGATTATACGTCTCGACGCTTTGGCAGGCGCTGTCCTCTGTCTGAGTTTCTTGGGGGAGGAGAGGGCGAGGGGGGGGGTATAACTGGCCTAGGTTTGGTACTGCGCCAAGCCGTTCTATACCAATTGTGAAAGCGACCATATTCGGTGGAAAACGGCCCTCCTTCTTCTCTCAAGGCCTAGGAAAAGTCCTTCTAATAACAGCGGTCGTTCTGGTTTTCCAGAAGATCTCCCTTTGATGCTCCCTCCCTCCCCCAAAGTTAGAAATACCACTATTTGTTTATGACAAGATTCAATTGCTTCTTCTCCATAAATACTGGAGGTGTAGAGATCATCAACTGTTAAATGGTTCAAGAAGGTGATACTGGGACACGCTCCTGCTCGTCAATGCTGCTCCTGCCCAAATCACTCTGGGCAGGAGGGGCAAACACTTTTTTGTTGGGAGAGTGTGGCAGGAGGCTTGGCTTAATTGTATCCTCCCACGGCACACCGATTAAACCCATTCTCAAGCTGCATTGACAATCTATATATAGTACAGTGTTTACCAACCTTATTGATGGGGCGTGTCACTGTGGCGTGAATTTCGGCGCAGTGCCAGCTTTTTTCTGCGGTCATTACCAGGCTAGGCGAACAGTGATTGGTGGTAAATGGGCTGCCACCGCTCCAAAATCTGAGTCGTGCTGACACGCCCCGTCGATTCGCTTATTTTGTTGAGTTGCGGTGGTTGAGGCTTTATTTTGCGTACAAGAAAGCAGATTGTGTAAATTTTGAAGAAGAAAATCAAAAATATTCTGGTTTTTGCAGAACACGCCGGTTCGAGTACATCACGTATGGGTGATGTGTCGCGACATGGAGGAATACAATCCAGCCGTGGCGTGGAAACTCCTCGAAGTCCATATGCAGCAAGGACAGCTTGCCCTGTAAGAGCATTCTCGATCTCATTCAGCTCGCTCAGAAGTTCTTGATTCTCAGTTCCCGTGATTAATTAGAGGATTCAAGAGATGTAGGCACAATTTTTTAGGTTATACGTAGGTTTTGTGATGTTGTGTAGTGTTTTACTACTAACTTCCCTAAGCTGTATAGTGAAAGAAGAGTATATGCATTTTTAAAATCAACTAATATTCTGTTTGCCCTCGGTTTCGATCCCTCCGCTGCCGTGCCGTCAATCCAGTCTCACCCATTGTAATATAGGTGTACTCGATTTGTATGTAGGTAAGCCGCTGGATTGCTTCTTAGGGTCTACAGCGAAATTGTTATTTGTTACTTGTTGAGTAAAGGATTTGCAATTTTGATGGGCATCTGGTGATAGATTTTCTTCCTTTTTTGTGGTATATTTCAGTCCCTTCTTCCACGCTGATCACATGGGTGGACACTGTCAACCAGTGTTCCTTTCCCAGCGGGGCGTCGCTTCCCTTTACCGTCCTAGAGGCTGACAAATCAATTTAGATTTATTGCGTGTGTCGACACATGAAAAATGAGCATCCCATTGCAAACCAGCGCATCCCTGACATGGGCCTCGAGATGGCCAAGACTTTTAGCTCAAAGAGAGACGAAGGACGAAGGTCCCAGATTCACGGAGGCCTTGAAATTTATGGACTTTTTCCCCCGTACGTCATCTTGATGCTAATAACTTCAGGAGACTTGTTGCAAAGGAGATGAGGATTTTTGCGTCAACTCAAAAAGAATTAGCAAGCTTTGGTATGAGCAAGACAGCAAAAGTACGGTAATTCTATTTGGAAGATAGTTAACTTCACGCACAATTTTCGGGAATACTGTACCTGACTTCCTAGCTTATAATTTAGTACACTGAATTCTTCTCCCAATGTTAATAGCCCCCTCACCGCACTTTTTTCGGATAGTCGTACTTTAAAGCATTACATACAGTCGCCCGGATGAAATTGATCAACAGACGCAAATGAATATATGACCGATCGACGAGATTCTCACAAATATTTGTGCGGCCAACTCTGCAGTATTGTCCTCACCAGAGCCCTTTTCAAGAGATGTCGCTTCGGCAGCGTTTAGACTTCGCGACGGCAGCGCTTCGGTCGCGCGTTCACGATCGATGCGCATGCTTTCGACTGCATCGATCGCGTCGAACGCGCGACCGAAGCGCTGCCGTCGCGAAGTCTGAACACTGCCTTCCAGTTGGCTCTCCGTTTTGAAACACATTTGTAACAACAAAGAAGTGTAAGACCGACCCATTCTCACCATATTCCACCAACTATATTTGAGAAGTGCCACACACTAGAGTTCTGCTCAAAAGTAGTCATCTCAAAGAAGTATTTGGCCTTTCAAAAGACTTATGAAGCCATTGGAAGATATAACATTTAGCTTTCTTTCTGCCACCCGAAAAGAGTAACAGATGCTAAACGGGAGCGCAGCAAGTCCCGAGCTCCGCCCCACCGTATGAATGAGGAACTTTGAACAGCTTTTCAAGTGTGGATAGAAGAGGACGTGTACTACTATCGTTCCCTGGCAACCCTAGCTTCCTGTGAGAACAACAGATCGGTCCTAATGTTTAGCGCAATAAAGCTTCATGTGTGATTTGGAATCCTCTAATGAATGACTTGAAAATAAGTCCTACTCAAAACCAAGATAATTAGAGAAGTCTTTCAAGACAAGAGTCTTCCTGTTTAATACGTATCAATTTATATTTTCATTATTTCCGATTCATTGTAAAGCCTCAACATAACAAGATAGAAAAAGATGTTGTATATAATAATATCAACGAATCAACGATTAAAACAATCCGTTTCACAAGCGTGTAATGGCAAGCTTCAGACAAGGACAAGGTTAATACAAACTATTATTAAAATAGAATCTGCTAAAATCAGAATAACACGATTGAAAAGCGCAAAACAAACAGTTAAGAGCGGGAAGAGTAGCCCGTAATACAATTGCAAGAGGGTTCAGCCATAAATTTCAATTAGAAGCCCACTGTGGTGCAGCGGCAACTTTCTGCCACAAAGGCATAATGACCCGTTTCAATGTGAAGACCTAATGCGATCGCCCTTTTTGGCAACGTTCGTTCGCCGTTTATGTCTTTTTTGCAGCTTCTTAGACACCTGTGATTACTTTTAGCAGTAGTAGAGTAAATCCCAAGAAAACAGTTATCCTTAAAGAATCCCTGTGCTTACAGTGGATGCGGAATCCTTTAATTCAGCCATGCTGACGTCTTTTCCAGAAGCCGCCTCATTCTTGGCGACTCGTTCGAAACAGGATGAGGATTCCTTCGTATCAGAGTTGAGCTGAACCTCCACTGGCCCCTCCTGAACATCAGATACTACTTAGTCCTGATGAATAATACTGATAAAATCGCTTATATACCTCTTCCTCATAGAAAACAGGCCACTCAGGGGTCCCATGGTATTTGTCCAATGCGCCATTAACAAACAACCATACATCTCGAGCAGTGATGACAACGGTCTTGAAAAGGTAAACTCTTTATTTGAATACCTATAAATCAATTTAATTATGATAAATGCTTCCTGCCCCTTTCCCTCATTAGAAAGCACAGAGGGATTCACTGATTTTGTCTGTCTTCCAAGAGCGCGTGCGAAACGGAAGACAGACTACACCCTTGTTTTCACCCCTCCCCGAATATTTTTTACTTCACTACATCAAAAATCTGGTCCTCTCAAATGAAGTTCTAGTAATCAGATAGCATACATACATTGCGCTAGCGTTTTGAGCGTGCGCTGGATCGATACCTATACTCTAGCCGCTCAAGACACTGCCGTACGTTTGAAGCGCTGACGCAAAATATGAACGCATTCTCACAACATTTCGAAGGTATCATAGCGTTTGGAGCGACCGAGAAAGTGTCGATCTAGCGTTTTAACTGTTTCGCGGGTAGTTTTGAACTTTTCGTGGGCAGTCGTCGAAAACGCTGACGCGAAGTATGAACGCACTTTCACAACATCTAAGAGGAAAGGCTAAGGGTTAAACCTACATTGCTCATCCCATTAATCACTTCAACGAGGTAGGGCGGAATATCTGCGTTGGTGAAGTAAGTTGAGCCTTCTCCCATCTTGTAACCCTCGTTGTACGAGAGGCGCTTCCCACTGGCGATCATTTCAGCGCATAAATACTGAGCCTAAATGTGATCACCGTGAGTTATACTCCATACCCCAGAGATGGGGAGGCGTGGCCGGGTACTTCATTTGAATATGGCAGCTGTGCGCTTTGAAGGAATACTTCTTTTCGGGGCAGCTGCAATCACGCCTTGACAGAATTGTA